CACCTTCACATATATATGCATTGCATTCAAGTGCATCAAGAAGTGAATATAATTCAACAGTCAATGAATTTTAGTCTGTAAATGGAATAAACAGTAAGAGTTGCATAGAGTCAAGCCTGAATTCAAGTAGAACCCGTATTAATCTCAAATAATAAATAAACTTTCAAGTCAGGTATCAATATACATACATCTGTACCACAACAAATAATTAATATACTCAACTTGAGCAGGTGCATAATGAAGTTAGTGCAAACATTGTACAAATTCATTCAATGAAGTCCAGATAATAATACTGCTCTCCCAAAGGCAGCCTCTTGTCTGGCTCGTGTGTCCAACCTGTAATGTTTGATAAAAGTCATTGGTTGGGACCAGACAGCTGCCTTACATATATCTTCCAAGGGAACGCCAAACAGGAAAGCAGAAGATGATGCTACCGCCCTTGTAGAGTGCGCACACACTCAGCCCGGTGGATTCTTGCCTGCCAGTTCATAACACAAGTGAATGGTTGAGGTTACCCACTTCGAGAGTCTTTGAGGAGTCACAGGCAGTCCTTTCTTGTGTTCAGAGTAGCACACAAAAAGCCTCTCTGAGCGTCTCGAGCCCGAAGTACATTCCAAATAGAAAGACAAAGCTCTACGAATATCCAGTGTGTGCAGTCTTTGCTCAGCCTCAGTGGTTGGGGCCAGGGTGGGTAGCACAATGTCTTGGTTAATATGGAATGCAGACACCACCTTCGGTAAAAAGGTGATATCGGTACAGAGGACCACCTTGTCTTTGTGGAACTGAAGATAGGGTTAGTCCATCCTTAAGGCACATAGCTCTCCAGCCCGGCGAGCTGAGATCAAAGCTACGAGGAACGCCATCTTCCATGTCAACAGTCTTATGTCGGTAGTAGCCATTGGTTCAAAAGGCTTTGTAGATAGGTAAGACAACACCAAGTCCAGGCTCCAAGCCGGCGTCGGTACCGAGGATGGTGGGTGTAGGTTATTGAGCCCCTTAAGAAATCTTTTGACTAATGGGTCAGAGAAAAAAGAGGGTCGGCCCTCCAGCTGGTAGTGGGAGCAGGTAGCGGAGAGGTAGCATTTGATGGAAGCAAGGCAAAGTCCTGTTTCAGAGAGGGAAAGAAGAAACTCAAGTACTGTTGGTACCTAGACACGGGATGGAGGAATCCCTCTGGCTGACAGAAAGTCCATAAACTTCCTCCACTTGTAGGAGTAAGATCGCCTGGTAGAAGGCTTCTGGGCTGCCTTAATTATTGTCTGTAGATGAGCTGGAAGTGAGCTTAAGGTCAAATTCTCCATGCTACCAGAGGTAGTGAGTCCAGATCTGGGTGGCATACTATGCCCCTGTGCATTGTGAGGAGGTCTGGGTGGTACTCCAGGCGAAAGTAGGTTTCTTGAGAAAGATGCATAAGTGGAGCAAAACAAGGTTGTCTCGGCCACCGTGGAGTGATCAAGATGGCATCTGATCTGTCTGTTCGCATCTTGGTGAGCACTCTGGTTATGAGTGGAAATGGAGGAAATGCGTAAAATTTCCTCCCACACCACACAAACTGGAAGGCATCACCTCGAGAAGCTTGGGTTGAAATCCTCGAACAAAACTCTGTGCAATGAGTGTTGTCCTCCGTGGCAAACAGGTCGATGTCTCTGGTCCCCCAGAGGGAAAAAAGCCGGGAAACTGTCTCGGGATGGAGACACCATTTGTGACCTGAATTGGAGGACCTGCTGAGGCTGTCGGCCAGTTCATTTTCCTGTCCAGGAAGGTGAATGGATTGGAGGAGGATGTTGTGGTCAATGCACCAATCCCAGATGCGAAGTGTGATGTTGAGTAAGGTTGAGGATTTGGTTCCGCCCTGCTTGTTCAGATAATACATGACGGTGGTATTGTCCGTCATGAGCAGCACCACTTTGTCCGACAAGTCCATTTGGAAAGCCCTGAGTGCTTTCTCCACAGCAAGCATTTCCAGGGCGTTGATATGAAGAGTCTTCTCGTTTGAGGACCACACCCCTTTTACAGTTAGTCCTCAGGAGTGAGCTCCCCAACCTTCCATTGATGCATCCGTGGTCAGCGTGACTTCTGGCTGAGGAGGTAGAAATGGCATCCCTGAGCAAACATTGTTGGGATGGAGACATCAACGGAGAGACGTCGTGATGTGAGGCGGGATGGTGAGCCACTTTGAGGGGGAGTCAGAGGTGACATCGAACGAGGACAGGAACCAG